CGGCGGGGGCCCCCTGCCCGTTCCCGGCGGCCTCCACCTCTCGCGGGTGAGTTCGCGCAGGTAACCCGAGCTAGAGGGCGCGCGCGGGGGGAGGGCGGGGAGACGGGAGGGGAGAGCTTCGCAGGTGCGCCAGGTGGGGCGGCTCACCTGCCGGGCCGCGCGCCGCAGGCCCCGCCCGTTCCCCGGGGAGCGAGGGTCGTCTCGGGGTGACGCTAGGGCCCTGGGGTGGAAGGGGGTTCTGACAGCGGGGAACTGGAGTAAAGTTTCTCTTCCTTCCCCCTCCTGCCTGGGCTTGGCACGTAGGGCGCTGGCGGAAGCGGTAGGAGCTCCCGAGGCAATGGACTTTTGCCCAAGCGAGGTGAAGGGCTGGGGCCGGGGCAGAGCTGGAGTTGCCCGGCTTCCTGAGACCGCGATCCTAGAGGTGGAGGGATGAGGGCAGGCTCGCTGCAACCCAGGCTCCCGGTAGAATGGCCCCCGGTGCTCGACCCGAACCTGTCTTCTGCTTCTTAACAAATCGTCTTTTACACGGAGGGGTTCCTATATGGCTTCCTTGCCTTCCTCTCCCAACAGGTGGTCTCAGCCCCTGTCCGGGGACCTGTGCCAATGACCCTAGTGGTGGTGGTTTCGCTTTCTCCCCTCTCGGCGGTGTGAACCTCCGTCACCTGTGTCTGAAGCGTGATGGGCAACCAGGTGGAGAAACTGACCCACCTGAGTTATAGGGAAGTTCCCACAGCCGACCCGACTGGCATGGACCGGGATGACGGGCCTCGCATCGGGGTCTCCTACATCTTTTCCAATGACGACGAGGACGTGGAGCCGCAGCCACCACCCCAGGGGCCGGATGGCGGGGGCTTGCCCAAAGGCGAGGACGGGCCGCCGCTGCCCCTGCCGCAGCCCTACGACCCTCGGCTGCACGAGGTGGAGTGCTCCGTGTTCTACCGCGACGAGTGCATCTACCAGAAGAGCTTCGCGCCGGGCTCCGCAGCGCTGAGCACCTACACGCCCGAGAACCTCCTCAACAAGTGCAAGCCGGGCGACCTGGTGGAGTTCGTGTCGCAGGCACAGTACCCGCACTGGGCTGTCTACGTGGGCAACTTCCAGGTGGTGCACTTGCACCGGCTGGAGGTGAGCAACAGCTTCCTGACCGACGCCAGCCAGGGCCGGCGCGGCCGCGTGGTGAACGATCTGTACCGCTACAAGCCGCTCAGCCCCAGCGCCGTGGTGCGCAACGCGCTGGCGCACGTGGGCGCCAAGGAGCGCGAGCTGAGCTGGCGCAACTCCGAGAGCTTCGCCGCCTGGTGCCGCTATGGCAAGCGCGAGTTCAAGATCGGCGGCGAGCTGCGCATCGGCAAGCAGCCCTACCGGCTGCAGATCCAGCTCTCCGCGCAGCGCAGCCACACGCTGGAGTTCCAGAGCCTGGAGGACCTGATCATGGAGAAGCGGCGCAACGACCAGATAGGGCGCGCAGCCGTGCTGCAGGAGCTCGCCATGCACCTGCACCCCGCCGAGCCGGAAGAGGGCGACAGCGACACCACGCGAACTAAGCCGCCTCTCGAGCGCCCCCCTGAGCCCTGCTGGGAGGAGGAGGACCAAGAGGCGGTGGTGCACTGATGGGCGAGCTCAGTGCAGACCTGCCCCCCCTCCCAGTCCTCCATTGCAACTCCACCGCCTTCTGGGCCCCATCTGGGCTCCTGGGCAATTTGGAAAACGGAGAGTTGGTGAAATGCGCGCGCAGCCAGCTGTGGCTTGAGCTTATTATATTGGACAGAGGAGGAAGAGAGAGCAGGTAGGAAGAACACTTTGATTGGGGGCACGGCCTGCTCACTCTCAGTCTGTCTTCTTTCTGAGGTGGGACAAACTGTGGACATGCCTGACACTAAATCCCTGCTGGACCTGGGTCCAAAATTGACCCTTGTTATGCACACGGGTGGAGAAAAGTTCGGAGTATCAACACCTGCCTTTGCCTCCTACCGACTTCCCTCCCTACCCTGGGGCTTGGAGGATGCCCTGTACCTAGGCCAGAGTGGGTCTGTGGCCAGCAGAGAGCCGCATATAGGCTACTCCTGTGGAGCTGTGTGTGGGATCCAGGAGGCTGGGTGATTTATTTTATGTGATTCCTGGGATGCAAGCCTGGAGAAAAGAGGACCAGGTCTGGGAGCAGCAGAGCGAAACAGCAGCTGCCTGTGAGTGTAACAAAGAGTAAACTTGGGCTACAAAACAAAGAGTTTGCTACCTCCCTCCTCCCCATCCCCAAGTAATTCATCTTATGGAGCTGACTGAGTCTCCTGCCTCCTCCTGCTCCACCAGCCACTTCCCAGGTTATAAGTAAATCATTGTCATGGGCCAGCTAGGGGAAGGATTCAATTATGGTTCTGTTTGGCCGCCTTTGTTTCTAGCCTGCTCTTGTAGGCACTTACAGCTGTGTTATTTGTTATCAAAGGAGGGAATAGCCTTTTTTGTCTGATCTAATTAAACCTGCAGGGCTGTGTTCATCCGCAGGTCACTCATGGGATTGGCTGATGCCACTCCATAAAGTATCCACTACAGAAGCAGCCAAACAGGTTTTCCTGGTAGGAATTAGTCACTCCCACTTCCCACCAAACCCCATTCCTGAACAGTGAAGGTAACCTTTTTAAAACATAAGGCTTTGATGGTGGTCCTGTGAATTTTAATTTTCTCTCACTGCTCCATCCCTCTCACTTTTATTCCGTTGCTGGTAAAATCATAGGCCTGAGGCATATTTCAATGATAAGGTATTTATTTGCATAACCACACTTGATGCACACTTAATTCAAGATGCAAAATCTTGTTATATTTCAGCTGTCTCCTTGGTGCTTGGAGAGCACCCCTTTAGAATGCTTTCTCAAGAGAGCTAACAGCAATCACAAATGCCACCTGGTGTAGTCAGTGCCAAATCTGGTGACAATACTAAAGCACAGGTTAGCGATGTGGGATCTGTGGGCAGCAGGCTGGCCAATACTATTTGGATCTGCTGCTGAGCTACAGTTTGCTTTACTATGAGGCTTTAAAATTTTTTTATAACCTGTTCCTTGTATACATGTGAGCTCTTTAATGATTTGTGCCCTAGATTTCAGAATGCATCTCTGCTGCACGTTGGACTGCTAACACTGTTGTAGAAGTTGAGTAAAGTTTTCTTCCTCTTGGGAGTCATTAGAGATTAAACTAAACACCTCATTTTGTGACCTCATTCTTACAGTTGGAGTAGAATCATACTTGAGTGTTCTACAGACGTGGTCATCCTTAGGCTTCCTGCCTGGAGATCTCTAAATCAAGGCAACAAGACTTGAAGGATTTCCTTGTATCCTTTTTCCAAACTTGGCAGTTGAGACCATAATTTTAAGTCTTCATAGCACATCAACATGACATCATTTCATTACAAGGGCATTAGCTATGTTCTCTGTTTTTGCAGAGCTCTCCAGATAGGTCCTATCACTTTGTTAAAGATGAGCTACACTCAGCCTCAGTCTGCATCTTTGGAGACACATCAGTCTCCCATTGCAAATGTAGATCTAGTTTAGTAAATCTCACTGCTTTGCGTTTATGTTCTTTTGCTTATGGAAAGCGGAACAAGAGGAACATGGGTAAAGGCATTGAAGAGAATCTACTCTATCTAACAGTTGGGCTTTCTTTTCTGGTTAACACAGTAATGAAAGTTGAAAGTAATGACTGAGGTGTAGACAGCAGGAAGAACTGCAGAACCGTACTGTCCAGCAGCTCTGGGCTAGCCAGCCAGGTCTTTTCCACTCTCCCATCTGTTCCCCTCCTTTGCCTTCAAATGGAAAGTGAATGCCATTGGTCACACTGAGGTATAGCGGTGATTGTCTTGTTGCAAACGAACTGCTTTTTGTGAGAAGTCCCAACATGAAGAACTCCTTTAAGACCTAAGCCAACAATCGCATTCTGCCTCTAGAGAAAAGGTTTTTGATAACAGGGCTTGAAAATGAGCTAGAAGAGGAAGTAGATCTACTGCAGGTACTGTTTTCCCATGTAAAGCAAGTGTTCTGTACACGGTATCAGAGATGTGAAATGTGTAATACTTAGCAACAGTGATGCCATCGGAAGTCTTTGTAGGGTAATGAAGCTTCAAGTAAAGCAACCACCAACCAATGAAGGCGCCAAGAAAGGAGAATCGAATCAGTTCTTGGCTCTTTCCTCAACATGACAGTGTTGTGGATAAATGAGTTTTTAATCCCAGGCAGTGGCTACATCTGGCACTTTAAAAATATATATATATTTAATAATTTTTGTTTCTCCTTAGGATTAAGACTTTAGAACTATTTTGTACTGTGAATTACAGATGCTCTTTGAAGGAAAGAAATATCGGTTCTACTGTTCTTCATGAGCTCTGGCAGGGATGAGCAGGACACCCGAGTGGAGCGTGTGCTAAGTGTAATCAGACAAATTCTATTTTCTTACTTGAGCAGCTATTTTATTGGATTGCTTATGTACGTCCAAGGAGCCCATGACTTCAGCTACACAACTTTTTGTACTGAAAGAACTCAACTTTTGTAGCTTTTATTCCACATTTAATTTAAAGTAACTTTATAGCACTAAATTGCCTAGCAGAAGACTTTACTCCAGACCTGTAAGGAAATTTTTAGTTTTATGAAAAATGACCCTTCAGTGGTTAAACTTCTCATGTCTTTGGTGCTTCTGGCCCTAATAGCACTACTAGACACACCACAACCACAAGGAAGCATATTTTTGGAAGCAAAACTTTAATTTTATATGACATATGCTATGGAGAGTGAAGAAAATTTAAAGACTACTTGTTTTCTATTTTTTTTCTTAACAAAATGGAATCCACTGTGTTGAAGACTCTTGATATTATGTGCTTGTCTAACCATTTTTTAATAAATTGGAATAAAATCCAATGTGATCATGGTCATTGAATGGATTTGTTTGGAAAGTTATATTTTATTTATGAATTTTTTTTTTTAATCGGGGTAACTGTAAACTTGACTGGCTTATTCCGCTTTTCATTGTGTTGTTTTGTTCTTTGCTGTAATACTTGTAACCCATGGAGAATTCCATTCACCAACACTATAATTTCCACATGTATTTTATTTCCCAATGAATTCTGTCAACTTTATTTTTGTTGAAGATTTGTATGTTAAATCCATGTTATGTTCTCATACCACTTCTTGAGAAGGAAGTTCCAATTTGAAATTGTATCATTTCCTTCAAAATGAAGGGCAGTGCTTAGTCAAATAAAAGATTGATGACATCTTTTAAACCATTTTCTCTTCACTATGTCTTATTAAAATAAAACCTGTTAAGTTCTTTTGAAAACTGCTTCGAGGGTTTCCAATAAACCATCTATTAGAGTTAACTGAATCTATATATATTTTTTCACTTGTATACCTTTTTTCCTGACATTTCACATCCAACTTCCTTGGCTTAACCAGTTTTTCTGAGAATCTTAATGTGTATCATCTCAGTTGCTCAGTGGACATTTGGATGAATTCATTTAGTGACTAAAACCCCCCCCTGCATTTACTGTGTGAGAATTAATCACCCATTGTTTCTAGGCTATCGGTGTTCATGAAAAATGTCTCATGAACATAAATTTTCAATACACATTGATTTTCAGAATTAATGCAAACATTACTAGAAACCACACACACATTTTGGAATCTACACTGGGGAATTGAAGGATTAAAGTCAGTAACCCACGTTGCATCATACGTGGTTTTAGAGTCCCAGACAGAGAGAAAGGGCTCAGTGAGTAATTTAATTACAGAAGATGGGCAAGTGTGATCAGGTGACACTGTCGGCATGATCAAGTGATGCAGGTGCGGGCAGTTGGTAAAGAGCAGATGTGGCATCTGGGACTGGTGTGGGGGAGGCCACCAGTACTCCTTATGCTGGCACCTGAAAATGCTACGGCATTTTCAGGTTCTAAAGCCTGAGTTATATCAAAAGACTCCTGTGAGCATTTTAAATAGGAAGAAAGTTGATTGCTGAAGGTTGTAAGGAGCTCAAGCAGCAGGGAGACCCTTTTCCCTAGTGTGGGAGTCCTTAATTTGAAATGGTCCTCATTGCACAAGGAAGTAGGGGGAGGGAAGCCTAATCGGAGCGTGTATTTATTCTTGGGTGACTTCGGTGCGATTTTGGTGGAGGCTGCTGTTCCTCATTTCTCCTAAGTGGACTGAGCTTGGTTAATGTAGGAAAATGACATGTTTGAAAGCATTTAAAAAAGGCTCAAAATGAGCAGTCTCAGAATATGTGCAGAAGGGCTTTTATTTCCTTTTACTGAATTTACCAGCAAAACTACGGATTGAACAAATACAGCAATTTTATCTGCAGAGTAGATGGAAGAATGAGTGGTGTCCATTTGCAATCACAACAGGATAGTAAGCATTTATGAAGGGTTGAAGGACGCTGAGCCCTAGCGTAGGTATTAGAACCTACAGGAGTTAAACAAATGGAAACCTCCAGAGACAGTCCCGACCGCTGAACTTGTTTCTAAGGGGAAATCAATTTCACTACTACACAGAGGACAGATTATACTAAGAGGTGGCTCTGTAAATGCTGATGGTTGGTAGGTATTTGGATAACGCAGATGTGTGTGGGTTTAGCTGGAGTACTCCCATGGGAGAAATTGGATCAAAAAAACGTGAGGCTGCAAATGATGGAGGCGAGTGGGACAAAACTAATATAACTAATATTCATGGAGGCTCCCAAGTCCCCGGTGCCTAACATACAAAGATAACCTGATCTGTAGTTTCTATCCTCATGTAACTTATATTCTAATTAAGGCAGATCACTGCTTACCAAAAAGGAATTCCTAAGAAGGTATTTAATTGCAGTTGTGATCGATGCAATGAAGGATTCATACTAGATGTCTGTGGGAGGAACCCTCTGCATCAAAGAATCGGTGAAGATGTCTCTGAGGGAGCGTTTATGCTGAACTTTGGAAGAGGTAGAGGAGAAAGCCAGGTACTTCGGGGAGGGCATAATTACATTAATTTAGAGAGGAAGGCTGGGGAGTAAATGAATGAACTTTGCTCTCAAAAATGCCTTTTGCTTCATGCTCCAATAGTCATGTCTCCTTGGGGTTCCCTTACAAACCCATTCATGCATCTCAGATACTTGACACAGGACCAGGCAGCGACTTTCCTCACTCTACGACTGAGTAAATGACTGAGTTTGGAGTTGGGGTTTGGTAGGCCAGAAAGCCCCATATTATCTCAAGGTGGTTTGAGGAAGGCAAAGTAGCAGTTTTCAGGATGATCCAACAGGGAGAGCAAATGAGTGACTGTTCTGCCCTCTCCCAGAACTAGAGGTGGTCCCTCCCATGCGATTGTGACTTTAAGTTGCCAGGCAGGCATGAAGTAGAGGGTGAATTTGAGCCTTTCCTGCTTCAAGTGAGAGGTCAGGTGGCAGCCACCAGGCCGGATGGGAGCAGAGGTCAAACAGAGCCCATCTGCCATTGCCATGGAATCATGATTGAGAAAGAATTTATTTTGTTCACTTGGTCAACACAAGCCACTGCTGTGATCAAGTCTCTTGTGCCTTGTCGAGTGTGGCCGTAAATGACTCAAAAGGTGAGCTCTCAGCTACCTTCTTTGGGAAACTTGTACAATAATGTCATTAACTCCCAAGGTGAAGATTATCTTGCTATCCAGTGGATTCTTTTTAACTTCATAACATTGAAGATTCTCAGTTGTTAGGCCAAACTGGAGGTGGAGGGTCTGACCTAGGCACACAGAATTGAATAGTGTTAAGGCTGGATAGTGAAACTACCTGGGTCCCTTTACCCCAGGCTCTGCCTGCAGTGAACCGTGGGAGAACTTGTATACTTGCTTGAAAAAATGTATTTCCTTTTCCCTGCAATGTGGCTTGTGTCACTGGTTAATTTATTCAACTCTCTCCATTTCAGTTGTATTTGTAAAATAATATAGTTAATTGATATATAATATGTAATAATATAAGTGGACTATAATGATTGTACCTACTTCAAATGGATGTTTGTGCACAAAATGAAACAATGGCCACAAAGCCCAGATCAGCACCTATTATGATTAACTAGAGAAAATCTGTGCTATTGTATGTGTTCAAAAGCTTTATTCAAAATAAATAAAGTTACTGTCTGGGAGAGAGGCATTCTGCCCTTGGAGAGTGTCTTAGCTAGATGCAAGAAATTGGTAAGACAAGAAAGAGATAATCTAGTTAACACTTTAGTTGTTTAGCCACTGCTGCCATGTTTCAAATGTTTCCTGAGCTTTGATCTTTAGTAGATTAACCATTCAACTATTTGTTATTATGTTTACTCATCAATTCAAATATTTCCCAAGAACTTTGAAGGTACCAGGTGCTGGAGAGCCAAGGGGGGATAGAAAGGAATATTACAGTAATAATATTAACAATGAAGAGGTCACCTTGTCCACACTGTCCTATTTTAATCATCACACAGCTTTCTGGACAGATGCTAATATTTTCATTTCATAGTTGAGGAAACAATTTAGAGAAATGAGGTGATTTGTCCATGGTCACATAGCTAATAAATGACAGCTTCTGGCCTGGAACAGGATTGCTGGTCTCCAAAGCCCCAGGCTCTGGTCCCTCCACTGAGAGGTCATCTGACCACTCCCACCCCTTCCTTACCTGTGCAGAATACCCTATTCTGCACCAACACCTAGTGCGCAGCATTATCTGAACAGTATGTGTGTTTGCAGCAAGTCTCCAGGCAGCGTCTCTGGGAGGCAGGAAGAGGCAGGAAGGGGAGGAGGCAACCCTCAGCCCAGGGGAATTTTATTTCCTTATCAAGATTAACAGTGACCAGCCTGCAGCACATGTTCACTGCCCCATAATTACTCCCACCCTCCCCGTGGCCGAGCACCCTGCCAATCCCTGCTCAAACTGCACTTTTCTCTGCCCTTTAGGGACTCCACCCTTCAGGCCAAGGCCAGGCCACACAGGCCTGCTTTGAATCATGGCTCTAACCCCTGACCAGCTGTGTGACTGTAGGCACGTTAGTAATGTCTTTAATCCACTGTGACTTATCTAAAAAAGTGGAGCTACTACTCCATAGGGCTGTTCATTGCCTTCCAGGAGACGTAATTCCAGCTCATCGTGGGGGACTTCGGTGTGGGGCAGTGACCATATCAGCTCTGCCACAAATGGCTCAGCTATGAATGTGGTAGAGACCTTGAGCAGGTCCCTTTACCACTCTAGGACCCTGGATCTATGGTTCTGTGTGTGGGGTGCCAGCTCCAGTAGGAGGGGCCGTGATGAGATTCCAAGTGCAACTTCCTCCTTTGAGATGGTTATAGAAGTTGCTAGGTGCTCTACTTATTTATAATTAATACTAATTAGCACTGATTCCTTGGCCATAGTAAATGTAAGGTAGTTAAGGATGACAGTTATAAGGACTGAATTTTAGGGAGTGCCTCTATTGTGAAAAGTAGGGCCTGTACACAAATTTGTTTTTGTGCTGGCATATTTTGTTTTGAGCTTATATTAGGACCAAATCTGGGCCATGGATGGGGAAGAAGGTGATGATAGGAGTAAATTAAATTCATGCATGTCTCCTTTATTTTAGGAAAAGTATTTAGAATATTTTTCTTTTTTTTTGAACACTGGTTTTTTTCCCCCCTTCATACTAGAGTACATTTCCCTTTGCTCCCCGGCTCTACCCTTGATCAGTATGTGTGATCCCCTTGTATCTCCATTGATATGCCATTATTCTGCTTTATTCGGATGGAGTCTATTTGTTTTATATTTCAGAAAGAGCAAGGTTGTTCAGAAAGTCATAAAGCATGAAATGGTGGCGGTGTTATGTGCCAACATCGATTGTAGTACTTAAAAAATAATAGACTCTGATTTTTAGAGCAGTTTTAGGTTCACAAAAAACTGAGTGGAGAACACAGAGCTCCCACATACCCCCTCTCCAGCCTCACAGCCTCCCCACCACCAATGTGTCTCAGTGAGGTCACCTGGTTGCAATGGATGAACTAACATTAACACATCGTTGTGAACCAGAGTTTATATTATGTTTTCCTCTTTGTGCTATACATTCTATGGTTTTGACAAATGTATCCATCATTATGGTATCATACAGAATAATTTTAGTTATTTCTTCCCCTATTCTGCACTATACCCCATGGGGTGGGGAATGGTGCGCAATAGGCTTCCTGGGGAAAATTAAGCAGGTAGGGGAGGTCTTACCTGAGGAGGATTCTGACATAATCCTGCTCTTATCTCATCAACCCTTTATTTTAGGGGTAAAACGCA